TGGCAGGCGTTTTGATAGTTATCGTTAGCCCTTTAGCTGACTTCTGGCTTCACATGGGGAAGAAACATCAAAGTAAGAGAAGTAAAAGAGGGAGACACAAAGTCAGAGAAAAAATAAGATGAGTACTGTGGAAGTGATAGAATATGATCTACAGCGGGTCTATTGTAGATTGAGCTCAGAAGTCAACTGCCGGTTAATGGACTTTTTTGCCGTATGAGTTTACGTTGCCCAGTGTGCACCACGTGGAGGTAAGTCTATCGTATTCTTAAGAATAATTGTTTAGAAAACCAGCAAGGGTTGAAAGTTGCCCAGGGTGCACCACGTGGAGGTAAGTCTATCGCACTCCCATACACAGTAGGTTCCAAAGCAATATTCTCAAATTACCATACTTTTCGTGTTCATAAGTTTGACAATACCAGTTTCCCGCTATAACTTTCCCTTTGAAACACTTCCATAGGATTGCGTGTTGGTAATTTCAAAGTTTGCTCAAAAAATCACCCTTGCTGCTTTCTTTTCACTTTTCTGAAGTTGATTGAGGCAAGGCAGTGTTGGGATGGTGTTGATTAGATTCATCGTTGCACCTTATATGACGTAGTTAATTCAGGTCGTGCGTGTGCGTGTGCGTGTGTGCATGAAAACCAGGTTATGACCTTTTTGCTCTGACGCAATAAAATAAGTTGTCTTTCGACGTGTGTGTTATGTTGGCTGACCTTGACTAGCACTGGTTCACCTTTTATCAGCGGTTTACTTTACAATGTCTTTAATATTCCACTTGAAGATTAGCATTCATTGGACACCAAATCGAAGCTCTGCTTCGTCAAAATCGTGGCAGCATTTACCAAATGCAGTACTTGGCAATCAGTAAAAGTTTCAGTCATTAAAATGTATCAGCTGACAATCAGATTTAACTCATTAAATGCGAATTCTGTCAAAAAATGGGAGAAAACTATTCGTTTGAGCATGAAGCAATGAACTAGACGCAAAAAGGTATAAGGCTTACAGACTCATATCTCGAATTTAACTTTCAGCTTGCAAAAAATGCCGTAACAGTCAACTGCCCCATCTTGTGTCATTTTGCCTGTTTCTCAAAATCCGGTTTGCGCTCCCTCAGTACTAGTACACACATCCTCACATGCTTTAATCACTTACTTCATCCTTTTCCATCCTATCAAGTGCAACCAAATTCCAGGTTTTCCAACTCGGTATAGGTCCTTGTTCTAGGTAATCCTTGGGAATATCATTAGTTTTATTAGGGGATGTTTTTTGCTTTATCCATAGAAAATTAAATTTACTTTATACATGAAAAAGGCTTCTTTGGGAGGTTTGCACAAATCCAGATACTTATTAGAAATAACCCATATTGAAAATACCACATGAGTATGGTTTAGGGCTTTCCTTCAATGGGTTTGGATATCTTTGCAATAAATACATTAATGCGTTAGTTTAAAATTTTATATTCATGGGTAAATATTCTTAATAATAAATTTGGCAAGACTCTAAAAATGTTAACAAATTTTATACACTCAATGCTACAATGGGATTAATAAAATTCAGAGAAGTTTTGTAATCATATGTAGTCAATTTTGTGAATTATTAATTATTCAGCTTTGTGTTTGGCAGCTGCGAAGCTTTCTTTGCTGACGTCTGGATTTCCAGAGTGAAAAGCGATTGTGGAAGTATGACAATATAATATTTTTTCAGATCACCAAGTGTTTTATTATATCTGATATGTCCAGCAGAGATATCTCAAATGACCGTAGACATCCTCTGATCATAACTGCAAGACCAAGGCTGTAGTTTTCACAAGCATGTGTGCAAATAAATGCCTAAGATGCCAAATCAACACGAGGAAACATTGATAGTCAGAAGTTGCTGATGGCTAACGATGGTTTATTAGCAAATTAAGGTGGCTTTCAGGTCACGTTTGTACCAATCATGGTACATGGCATGCTGATTTCAAGTTACACATTGAAATAAAAACCCGATCTCTTATGTAAATGGATTGAAGTTCATGAATTTGTTAAATATTTTGATGCGGCAACATTGATATTAAAAAACAATTTCAAGACAAATAAATTAGCAATTAGTATTTGGTCAATTTAGCAATTGTAATTAGGTAAGTTATGTGACATTCGCATGTTTGAAGTATCGACCAGGACAATTACTGCTAAAAATTCAAATTAGAAGAGGTCAACTTGTCGCCTTTTCTTACAATAAGTTAATTTTGGAGTAAACCCTACAAGGCAAGCAATGAATGCGGAGAATTTGATTTTGAATATTGAAATCAGTGTTTACTCTCTACCAATGATGAGAAATGTCTGAATGTTTGAAATTTTACTTTTGACCATAGTTTTTAACGGGAAATGGATTATGGAGTAGGGACAAAATGGTAGCATGTCACATTTCGAACAACCCCAAATGCCATCAAGGATATGCCAAAATACAATCTCACATCATTAAAACCCATTTACATTGCAGATATTAAGAAAATCATATTTTATTTGTTCTTCATGAACAATGATCTCAACTTTTGATTCATAAGTAAGGTACGGAAAGAAGTGTATAGAATTGTTTGCAAATACCATAGTAACTAAGATTAAATATTCTACGCAAAATGCCCAAAAATTAAATGACCTTCTGACAATTTAAATGAATTATTGCTTTAAATTTGCATGCGAGCAATGACAAGAAATATTAGACATCAAATATAGAGAAGAAATGTCTTACCATATTTTGTCGGAAATCATAATAAACACAAACCACTCCACCTCCAATCATTAGAATGAATATAACATTTTAATGGCTAATTGCCAAAGCTTTTAGATTTGATAATCGATAGAAATTGACAATTTTAATAAATGCTTACTTCACAATGTCAAAAAGGATTGATCAACTCAGTGCACACAATTTTTATTATTATAATTGTGCGGTGCTAACTACCAAATTATTATTTTATTTAGGAATTGACATTTCAATAAATTAAACTCACAGCGGCCTTTAAAATTAGAATTCACTACACTATTGGTGGTTAGCCCAGGATTGATTTGTTCGTAAAATGGCTTCAAGTGACAACGATGAGGTGTTGGTCGATTTTGATGGCAGGTCGCTTAAAGTCGACAATGAAAAGGATGCAAATGAAATTGTTGAGAATATTAAAAAGGATTATATGATGTCTGCGTTGCGCCTCTCCGCTAATACCATAGGTGTCAATGGAGCCAAAGCCATCGGCGACGAATTGGCATTTCATAAAAATTTAAAACGATGCCTTTTCAGTGACATCTTTACCGGTCGGTTGGTCGATGAGATTGCTCCAGCTTTGATGCATTTTTCTAAAGGAATTATGACGTCAGGGGCTCGGCTTACTGAACTTGATCTCAGTGATAACGCCTTTGGCCCTCGGGGTGTTGTAGGTGTAACAGAACTTCTTTCTAGTCCTGCGTGTTTCACCCTGAAGGTATCTTTGCTTTCGTTCGCTTATTATCTCTTTAAAGATTTTACGAATGAACAATCAAGGTCTTGGCCATCAAGGAGCGAAACATTTAGCTGAGGCTTTATCGAAGGGTCTCAAAGAAAGCGATGGTAAAGGGCTCAAATTGACCCACTTTTCTGCCGGGCGTAACCGTCTAGAAAACTATGGTGCCTGTCTACTCGCAGATGTATTCGCTCAAATGGGCTCGTTGGAAGAACTTGCTCTTTATCAAAATGGTATTGGGATTCATGGACCTGAGGGAATGAAGGCACTTGCTTCAGCTATTTCTCAGAATTCCAATATGCGCATTTTAAACCTTTCGGATAATTCTTTGAAGGAAGAGGGAGGCTCTGAAGTGGCGAAGATCCTTAAATCAATTCCAAGTTTGGAGGAGCTTATCTTAGACGATTGCTTAATCCGCTCCAAAGGTTGTCGCGCTTTAGCCCACTACATCGAGCGTGAAGACATTGTTCCCAGCCTCACTCGCCTGAGTCTCTATGGTAATGAGATTAAACGCGATTCTGCCATCTCCCTGGCATTCGCACTGGTTTCTAAATCCCAGCTCAACCATCTCTGTCTTAACGCAAATGAATTCGGCCCATCCGGTATACAGGCCATCTTACAGGTAAATTTTTTATTCATTTTTTATATTGCAGTCCTCTTACTGTTGCCTATTTGATGCACAATGAATCATTATTATTTTTCATTGATAAATTCTATGTTTTATTGTGCCTATGTGTTATAAATAGAAATGTTTTCTTGATTTCTCTTTTTGCATAGAATCATCTATTTATTTGCTCTTGTTGTGCTTGATGTTTCCTGATTATAAATTGCACGAATTTTGCACGCCTTTTCCTTCATCTTCTCTTTCTTTTCGGATCGAATTCTTTCTCCATTTGCCTTTTAATTATCAAGGCGTTTATAAACACTTGAAATTCGGACTTTTATTCGACACGTATGCTGAAATACAGATTTTTTCAGTAGGCTTTTGTTGGTTATCGAAATCGGCTTCCATACTGGTGATAGTTTATTTCAATAAATTCCATTAGCAATTTCAATTTTCCCCTATTTGAGTTTACATTCTTTTATGCCATCCTTACTGATTCTCTTGATCGAAATAATGTTTTTTTGGGTTCCTATGACCCTCAGATGGCCAGAATTTGTCAATATATTCTAATGTGTCCCCTTATTTAACGCCTTACTGTTTTCGCTTAGGTTCTTGAATCGCTGAATTTGTTGCCAGCCCTCAGAGCAAGCATCAGCAGGCAGGGAGAAGACGAAGAGGAGGATGACGACGACGACCTTCTCCTCGCCTTTGATGAAGATATTGGTGAGGATCAGGAAGAGAGTGAAGTTGAAAATGAGGATGAGGAGCAGAGGTAAGATTATACTTAGAGTTTAGAGTTATTTTGAGGAGACGTGAATTGAAGGCTAAGATGGTAGTGTTTGGAAATATTGCTTTTTTAAATGTCAATTGTTGTTCTGTTCATTTCTTCATCTTATCTCTATAATGCGTGGTTAATTGTGTGAAATATCACTCAAACTGTTTAGTTTTACAACTGCTCAGATCACAGAGGAGTTGGAGAACTGGTATCGTCTTTCAAATCGCCTGTATATGCTAAAGCAGTGACTGCCGTTGGTTCAAGCAGCCATCAGTAATAATAGCTAATAATGGGTATTGCATTTGGCTACCCGTTGGAGTCAGTTTTTCCTGGATGGAATAGGTCTTCGGTAGCTGCGTCGATTACAACTATGTTGGTCGAAAAACAAGACACATTTGACTGCCACGTTTCAGGGAGGAAGGGAGTTTATCATGTTATTAAACACTGAGATGCTGGTTCCCGCACATATTTCTTAGGACTGTATGAATACTATTTAATGGATGAGTATACAACGGAGATATCTACGTTCCAATCTCAGTTAGAGATCTGTATACTCATGATTAGCTTAGGCCAAAAACAAGACGTCTCTGATCGAGTTTACCACTTCCAATTGTTTCTCTTTGGCCATAAGTTATTTTCGAAATCTTGATTTTGTTCATTGTTTGGTAGTTTATTCATATAGTTACCTATGATTATTCCTTTTCGGTATATTTTGTCTTCGAAAAATCTAATTAATATTTACTGGTTGCATTTATGTGGGCTTCTTTTGATTGTTCTGTTTTTGATAATCCAAAATAAATACGGGAAGCCCTTGAGTTCGGGTGACGAGTTTTCTTGAATGCAGTTTAATGCTCTTTCCACTTATAAACCAAATTCGGTCACCTTGATTACAATAAAAAAGAAACAAAACGTGGAGGTTGTATTGTTATTGTTCATTTCTTACCTTCCTAGTTATGATGGAGATTACTATGGTGATGATAATGGCACGACGAGCGAGGATGAAGGAGAAGATAACGAACGGGACACTTCTTTCAATACCGTCAAATATATGCCCACAAAACTCTCAGGTACTGTTATATTTCCCTTCTCTATATTACCTGCTTCATATACTTTCTGCAGAGGCATTGGTTTAGTGATTGGCTTCTGTACAGACTAACTACCTTCAATAAGTGAATATATATATATATATATATATATATATATATATATATATATCGGCCTGAGTGATATTTAGTTCTTTACCTGCAGACCTCATTTTTAATGTTTTCTCTACCACCTTTGTAGGTGAACCAGCCGCGGCGCAGGCTGGTCAAGGTGCTGGTGCAGGTGGATTCAGTTTCCTCTCTTGCTTGTCCTCTCTGAAGGAGAATCAGCAGCCAACGAAATCGGGACTTTTTGCAGACATCAATATGCTCGGTAGTAGCACCTCTTCACCAAGTGGCGGACTTTTTGGTGGCCTTGGGACCACAAATTTCTCAGGAGGTCTTTTTGCGCCCCCGAAACTTGGCTCGCTATCTTCCGGATTATTTTCCACTCCTGCTGATTTCAACGAATCTGCACTTCTTGATTCTCTAAGGGCAACTTTCAGTGACACTGAAGATGAAAATATGATCACATCTCTTATCGACCAAGTTTCTAAGCAGGCACCCCCTTCAACTTGGAAGTTACAGGGTGAGAGCATAGTGGACTGGGCTTCACCTGAGTCTCTTGTGCGGTTGGCTTTCCGAATCTCTCAGAAGACCTCGGCTCCCGCTTGTCAAAATCTCGCTTCTGATCTTATTTTCTCTGCTCTCTCACAGAAAACCAACAGTGTTGACACTTCATTTGTCGAACCTGCGTCAAGAGCGGTGAATTCTATCCTTCTACACGTAGGTGCCATCAAAGCAGATAAAAGTGATTCTCTTGAACGCAAGATTAATGAAGAAATCGAGGATCAGAAGACCATGAAAACTAATGTAAATTTGGTTTCCTCTTTGCTTAACCGCTATGGCGATAATTTGAGCGCAGATGTGAAGAAGCCTCTGAAATGTATCATTTCCTTACGACGCAATCAAAGCACTGCTCTAGAAACTCTCTTAACAACCCTTGAAAGCAAAATGTCATCTCTAAATCTGTAAAAAATTTTAACTACCAATAAATAAATTTTAACATCTCTGTGAGAGATTGTACCCCATTTCTCGTTGTTTGTTTTTTTTTATCGGTAGTTTGGTTTTATTTTCCATTTGATTGTTGCTTTATTTGAAGAATGAACCAGTTTGTCAAAAGATTTCTACTCGCCTCATCAGCTTTTACGACGGGCTGTGTTGTCACAGCAACTGGGATCTGTCTCTGGGATAAGGAGAGCTCAGTGAGAAGGGTCGTGAGTCGAACGGCTCCTCCGGGCCACTCCCTTAATTCTCCTAGGTCTTCAATTTTCAGTCCCTACTCCCCACTACCTCCTGCGGTAGCGCAGGTTGGCCTGCCTGACCCTGAGCCATTGAAAATTTTGCCCGGTTACATTTGCCAATATGATCGGCGAAATCGCATTCCTCGATGGACATTGGAATTACTCGTCAAAGAAAATCTTCTTGGGGATTCAAATGAACTTGTTAGCAGGTACTTCACTTAGTGGTGTTTTTTTTATATTTGTGTTGATTTGACTTTGTAAATCTATAATGGAACGGTTTTTTGATCCTCTGGTTTTTTATGAAATAGGGAAAAAGGTATGCAAATGTGATTGAACCAAAGGTTAAAATGAGGCTGAAAATTTAAAAAATGACTAGGCCAACCAGATATTCATATTGCTTATCCGCTTCACAATTACTGGAATAAACAATGTTGAGGCAAAATGATTGGCTGGTGTTACTTTCATCATCTGCGTTTTCAAATACCTTTCGAGCTGCTGCACCTATGTAATTATTACTTCCTAAAATTTCTATCCCAAGCCTGTCTGGTAGGGAATAGGGCATTGTGCAAGATGGTTAAGAGATAGTGGCGAAGACTTCTTGCTCAAAATGGGGGCTATGCAGTAGTTGGTGTACTCATCTATAAACTCCGAAGTCACGGATGGTTATTCACCAGTGGATACTCAGTCAGCAGAATGGCCAAACGAATAGGTTGCGTCTAGTTAATGGAGGGAGGAGGATGAGGAGGCTCTATAGTGATGTTCCTGTGCGTAAGCTAGATGCTTGGACACTTCTATATATAGGCGTTCGGCTTTTTATCGCATGATTGCAATGCTCTAGTCGCATTTCCTATCTAGATTTTTTCTGATTTTCGCAAGATGAATATTTATCTATATCAAATGGCAGGCTTTATGATAGTTATCATTAGCCCTTTAGTTGACTTCAGGCTTCACAGAGGGAGAGGAACATCAAATCGAAAAAAGTCGAGAGGGGAGCTGAACAGAAGAGTATTTTAAAGGTGTAAAAGAGACAGTCACAAAGGTTGATGAAAGGTGAGGTGAATACTGGGGCAGTGGTTGAATATGACATACAGTGGGGTCATGATAGAAGTCAACTGCCGGTTAATATTGGGTTGGCAACGAAGTCGTTGCCGTTTTTGTTGACAGATTCACTCTATACTTTGTTTTGTTAACGTGGCCAGAGCATCTAACCCATATTTTTTCTTACTGTATGGGCTTCTAGGTTAATTAGTAAAAAATTTTTTTGTTTAGTTATTTAGTTTTGTTTTTATCCCAATTTAAAAATGAAAGAACAGGACGTGCACTTCCGACACACTTTATTGTATTACTTCCGAAAAGGCAAGAACGCATCGCAAGTACAAAAGAAGTTATGTGCCGTATATGGAGATGAAGCCTTAAAAGAAAGGCAGTGTCGAAATTGGTTTGAAAAATTTGGTTCCGGTGATTTTTCACTGAAAAATTCACAACGATCTGGCCGCCCAGTCGAAGTGGATGAAACCCATATCAAGGCCATTATCGATTCAAATCGTCACAGCACAACACGAGATATTGCAGAGAAGCTGCTCAATGTGTCGCATACATGCATTGAAAAAAATGAAAAACCCTTGGTTATGTCAAGAAACTTGATTTATGGATCCCTCACCAGTTAAAGGAAATTCATTTGACGCAACGGATTAGCATCTGTGATTCGCCGCTACTGAAACGCAATGAGAATGATCCATTTCTGAAGAACCTAGTTACTGGCGATGAAAAGTGGATAGTTTATAACAATGTTACTCGCAAGAGATCATGGGTGAAGCAAGATCAACCAGCCCAAACAATATCAAAAGTAGAGATTCACCAAAAAAAGATTATGCTGTCGGTCTGGTGGGATCACAAAGGAATTTTGTATTTTGAACTCATGCCGCAGAACCAAACGATAAATTCAAATGCGTATGTTGAAGAACTCGAAAAACTGAAGGAAGCAATTGAAGATAAGCGGGCGGCATTATCAAATCGGAAAGGTGTTGTTTTCCATCATGATAACGCAAGGCCCCCCCCCCCCACACATCGTTGGTTTCTCGGCAAAAATTATTGGAACTGGGTTGGGATGTTTTGTCACACCCACCATATAGCCCTGACCTTGCGCCTTCGGATTACCATTTGTTTCGTTTCATGCAAAACTCTTTAAATGGTAAAATTGTTAACAACGCGGATGATGTCGGATCACACCTAATTCAGTTTTTTAATAGCAAAGACCAGACATTTTACGAACGGGGAATATTTACTCTGCCAGAACGATGGAAAAAGGTCATCGACAAGAACGGCCAATATCTAATTGAATAAAGTTATATTTTTAAAGAAAAATTCCGAATTTGCCTTCTTATTTGAAATCGGCAATGACTTAGTTGCCAACCTAATAGACCTTTTTCCGCATGAGTATACGTTGCCCAGGGTGCACCACGTGGTGGTAAGTCTATCCCACACCCCCACATGATGAATATTATTTATTCTTTAAGTGAAATAGTTGTCTCGTAGGTCATATTGGTATGCTCATTTATGCCACCCGCTTCCTTCCTAATCTTCGAATATTTTGCTTTTATTCTCTCTCGTCTCTAGGGAGAATTTCGCTTTCATCGAGGATTTGAGTGAGCCAGCAGCGTTTCGCAGCACTAATGTAGACTACGCCAGATCTGGCTACGATCGAGGTCACATGGCCGCGGCGGGCAATAATTTATTCAATGCCGAGTGTATGGACTCAACTTTCCTTTTCTGCAATATTGCTCCTCAAGTTGGCCGTGGCTTCAACAGGAATATCTGGAATTCTCTCGAGAAGCATATCCGCAAAATTGCTAGAAACTCAGCTAACGTTGTGGTCGTAACAGGTCCTCTTTTCATTCCCGGGTACGTTATGCTTGAATCTTATTTAAGAAATCGAATGCTATATGAGGATAAAACAATAAGCCTCGTGCGTTGATCATATTTCACATACTTCTGATCACTAATTAACGCCGAAGCTTGAAGGCGTCTGACTATTCTGGTTTCCGTTTTATTTGCAGGGTTAATATATACGCGTTGGTGAACGCCATGCTTTATGTTTGCAAAGTTAAAAAGCTGTGTGGTAACCACTTGATTGGACTATTGTGAATTGATTCATTCTTTTATCCCATACTAGCTGTTAGATATATATATATATATTTTTTATTTAAATGATGGTGTTCAGTAATGAAAATGCCTGCAGTTGTTGCGACGATTTGACATGGAACTGCGTCAATATGCGAGACCATGCTTTGATTTGATCACGGAAATGTGATTTTTGAGCAAATTTATCTCGCTACACTATCTACCTGAAATTAATTAGACTGTTTTGCCTCCTAAGTTCAACAGTTTCAGACCTTGGACATCGACTGGTCGTGTATGAATTGATTGGCCCGAATAGTGTCGCGGTTCCCACTCATTTCTTCAAAGCGATAGCTGTACAGGAGAGGCGTGGTGGTCCATGGAATACTTTTGCCTGGATCATTCCAAATCGTGAGCTGCCTATGGAGAAACCCTTTAATGCATTCGCAGTATCCATGAAAAATCTTGAACAAGCCGCTGGTCTGGTTATTTTTCCCAACCTAACCAAGACTTAAAGGTCGATTTTTATATTTAAATTATCGATTTTTTCTTAGTAAAACAGATGTATGCTTATTATGTTTTTAGGTTATAATCTTATTTATTACGGTGCTGATGTACGATGTACATACAAATACAAATAGTTGTTTTGAAGGCCTTACTGTTGTTGCAGGATCCGTCTTAATGGCCTGACTATAAGAGTCGGAGGAAAAAGAGGGGAGTATATATGATAGATACCGGAACGTCAGTGTCGGGACTGGTTAAGGAGTGGTGTTGGAATCCAGATCGACGATTAAGAAGCTGAGTCCCCATTAGAGTTTTGCTAAATATACCGGTGATAAGATTTTATAGGCAGTTTTTGGCTCCAAGTTGTCCAAAATTCTTGATACGGAACATATAAGTGGTTTATCATGACAGATTTATGTAAATTTATTTGAGAATTGTTAATTACTGTTTTGTCATTTCGGAAAATCATTCACGCCGAACTAACGATTTGTAAGATTGCTAACGGATTGGGCAAAAATAATACTACAAGTAGAGTATTCACGTCGTTGGATCAAGGAATTTAGAGGAAAAGGCGATGATAAACAAGAACTTTGTTAGAGGTCAATTTGAAATCGGAGGATTAGGTGTCCTAATAAACTTGAATTGGCAGTGCGTGAAAGTTGGGAGGTGTTGATTAGGAATCGATTTATTAGCGGGAATTATGATGACATCATCTGAAACGGAGCCACAGAAGGGTTGGGTCCAGCCACTCAAAACCTTGAATCAGCGTTGTGATGGAAAACTTCTCTTCTTGAGATGTCAGCTGTGTCTGGTTGTCGTTATTAAAGGATGACGAGTAGCAGTGGAGCAGAGTGATCTATTCTCACGGGAACCGATTGTGAGTACTATTATACTGGACAAATTGAGTTTGAAAATCATGGCTTAGAAACCCAAGAAAGTCATCTGAAAAGTGTTGCGAATTTCAGCGTTAAGAAATTGACCAAACCCATATCGTGCCTTTTTCAGAACTATTTAGACACTTTTGAAATTTGAACGATTCGAAAATTTATAATATTCAACCATATTAGATTTTAAAGAAAAGCTTGCTAACAAACATTACTATAATATGAAATTATTAAACTTAAGCTTAAAATCAATGGAGTCAAATATTAGATCGAATTTTATTTGAGAAAGGCCAGTGTCGATGTTCAAATGTTCTCCAATGTATATTTATTGATTAATAAACTTAAATTTACATTAAAACACCCGATTGAATGAAAGTTGAGTGTAACTTTAAATATATCGATTACGACCTCATAAAGGTCAAAGTTTGCGGTATATTTAATTCAGTCCTAAATGCGTCGGGTTTGGTTATTTGGGGTTCTTTTTATTTGATGGGTTTGGCCGCCTCCATATTTTCTAATGCACAATTACGTTGGTATTTAATGTTTTTCTATGATGGCTATTGAAAGAAGAAGGTAAAATAGTTTGAGATTGAAATTTATTTTTAGATGGTTTCACCATAATTTGGAGGGGATCACGGCGGAAAAATTACTTCTTGAGAAAGGTGACCCTGGTAGCTTTCTTGTACGACCTAGCGTTGCACATCCGGGAAATTTTACTCTTTCAGTTCGGCGGGAAGATTGCGTCACACACATACGTATTCGAAATACTGGGGATTTCCTAGACCTTTATGGTGGAGAAACATTTGCCACCCTATTCGAATTAGTTGATTATTATCGTGAAAATCGTGGTGAATTAAAAGAGAAGAATGGCTCAATAATCGAATTGAAATATCCCTTATTTTGTCAGGATCCTATTGCTGAGAGGTATTTAAGAATTATTAAGGGGTTGACCATTCTCCGAATTTTAGTTCCCGTTGGTTCCATGGCCCTATGTCCAGGAATGAGGCCCAGAAACTCCTCGTGGAGAAGGGGAAAATTGGAAGTTTTTTAGTACGTGAATCAATTCAAAAACCGGGTTCATATGCACTCTCGGTATCTACGGAAGACCAGGTTTCACACATCCTAATCAATCGGAAAAACGACAAATTCGACGTTGGTGGAGGTCATCAGTTTTCCTCCCTTAAAGAGCTTATAGATTTCTATCTCGCTACTCCCATGTTCGAGAAAACAGGTGGATTAGTATGCCTTAAACAGGTTCGTTATTTTCTGATGACATAAATTAGTAGTTAATCTTAGGCAGAATAGTTTTAGTTATCTAATAATTTACTGATGTCATAGCCCAGGTTCTTCTTATTCATCCCATTGTTTCTTACTTTGATTTGCGAAAATTATTCTTTTCATTTGGTGCGGTACTCCTAAATAATAGGCAGCAGAAATATTTTATTACCAATTTATATCCAAGCTAAAGGCCAGTAGATTAGCTCACCACTCTTTGAATCATAAAATCTAATCGGGTGGCATTCAACATATTCTCATGACAGCATAGGCGATTTCCAGACGTCTGAAAATTTAATAAACAAACCAATTTTTTTCGTTTCCCATTGACGGCTACTTAGTCGGGTTTAACCCCGTAGTGTCGGCGTAGTAATTAAAATTTATAAATATATTATTATTTCGTTTGGATTTTGCTCTCATTTTCATATTTTTTTACCTTCTAATTTTTGAAGTCGGCAAGTGGAGGTTTTATGGCCAGAGCCCAGGATTAAAATCTGCTACTGGGCTATCCTTTCTTTTGACTTCATTTGTATATCTACTCAGAAACCTCTCAATTTACGGTAACAGAATATTATGGCATATATGTGTTAGCGTAACTCAAATTATTTATATTTGACTATACTGTGATTTGAGGTTGAACATTGGCTTTCGTACAGACTATCCTTCTTTAATGGGACTTCCGATAGCGGTGATCGGCATACGACTGAAATTCCTGTGCGGGTAGAGTGTTTACTCTCTTTCTGGATAATATTCCATGACTAAATATTGGACCAGGAGGCACAACTCAGCCTTGGGTTCTAAAATTAGAATTAATTTTTAACCTTATTTTGAGGCTATGAAATCCTCCAGAAAAACGGTTGTCCATCTGCACAGCTAGTTAAATCCTATTACATTTCTCATAATAAAAAGGTTACCATCTTTATCACTCATTTGCTAACTTCTTGTCAATTATTAAGAGTCTCCTAGAACGTGGGAGTAACTGATTGGCTATTGCTGATTAAGGATAAATATGAACGAATCCGCAACTTTTTAATTCTAATATTTTGGTGTTTTGCCTCTTCTCTCTCCTTCTCAGCCCTTCAACGCCACACGGCTGAACGTTTCCACAATCAACAAACGAATCAAACAACTGGAGTCGGAGAGCGTGAACGGAAAACATTTAGCCGGGTTCCACGAAGAATTCGAAGAACTACATCAAGACATTCATGATGTGAGCAATAAAGAAGCCTTCCTTTTTCCTCTGTGTGTTGGTTTTAATGTACGCAAAATCAGGTCTTAACCAGTCACTCATAAAGCTTTAGTCAGACTTGCGTATGTATGCATGTTGTGCCAGTTTAGGTAACATCCGCACTAATGTTTGGGTGGAGTGTACCGATTATTGTAAACTCTGAAGTTTTTTTCCGGGAACCATCGCCTAATTTAAATGCCTTTGAATAGAACACGATGGTGTGTTTCGTGTAGACAATTAATTGGAATATTACGCCTACATGGGATTAATATCCAACTCAAAAGTAGCAAACTTGAAGATTTGTACGGCTTTTATAACAAACCTCAAGAGTACTGTGAGCTTGTGCCTCGTAATCGCAAAAAAATGTGTATGAAATTTGAATGCAATTATGTGAATAAAATTCGGTGGCAAAATTTACATTTACGTAAGTTGTAAGAGTCGGTCAGTGCATTTATCATACCCCTTCCCTTTCGAGCAGGACGTTTTTACAACCTTTTTGGAGGCGTTGTCTTATTGGTGGTAAACTTAATGCTTTCTTAAAAAAAAACATTAAGAGGGGTTTTATGAGGACTTGCACTTCGAAAAAAATGACCCAAACCCTTGTATTTTTTTCCTAATTACACTCTCAGCGAGAGCTTGGAAGCGTCACTAGGAAAGTAGCTTAAAACAAACAATGTTATAGTGACGTGCTTGGCTTGATCGATTAGTCTCGAATGCTTCTCCTTCTACACTAATCACCCTGGAAGGTGTGATTGCATCAAAAGTGTTGACTATTCTTTTCCCACAAAGTGCGTAAGGTGTGAATTGACACAGTGGTGCATCCTGCCATTTTAAAACTAAGGGGGTTGATTCAGTGCCTTTTCACCACGTTTGCTATTCTGAATCGTTCATTTGCACCTTTTGTTTTTCATTCCCATCCTTCAGAGGATGCACCCTCCTCTAAAGAGCGCATATGCCGATATTTTAACATTTCATTACTTGTATGTCTTTTCTCCCTTTTTTGTGTTTTCAGACCAAATCAAGGAGTCGACTTGAGGGAGCCAAGTTCTACAATTTGGAGAAGAATCGGTACAAAAATATCCTTCCCTTTGACTCAACCCTAGTTCGTTTGCGAGACGGCGACCCAAACATCCCCGGATCGGATTATATCAATGCTAACTACATCAGCTGGCCTGTAAGCATTATGGCCCACCTATTCTTGAATGAATGCCGCCGGCAAGGTAGTCCTTGCCTGCAGTGTTAGTTTATTCAATGTCAATATGCTAACAACGACCGCACTGACTTGCGTGTTGTAGGCATTCTGTCGCCTATTGCAATAATTGTGCTTTTGTATGATCAGGCTAGTGGATTGTTCAATTTGATTGCCTAGGCAATATGCCTGCACACTCATGGGGAGTTGTTTTTCTTTCCAAAATTTTTGTTTTCTTTTTGATTGTTTGAAGTACGAATTGGTGGCGTTTTTCGCAAGTTGTTACTATCACGTCTAGTTTCCTTCAATTAAATCAAGTGACTGAATTGTAGTTACTCCAAGACGTGTTATTACTATTTTGGTTACTTCAATTGAGAGGATGTGGGATTTCAGGATGTCTTCAAGCCACTGGTAGTAACAGTTTTTGTTCCGAATAACTGTGAGGCTGCCTGGAGGAGCGTGCGCGCCTGCTTGTTAATAAGGATGTTGAACACCTTAGATACGATTGTGGGTTACTGCTCATCTCGATACTAAATAGCTTTATGGCTTTGAGCTTTCCTTGTCCACTACTTAACAGTGTCCTACTCGTCTCTCGACTCTCTTGCCCCAGATTAGTTGCTTTATTCAACCGCAACTGGTTTTCGTCTAGGCAGTGTGGAAGAGTTGGCAGTTAACTTAATAATGTCTCGGATTGTAGATGAAAAAGGGAGGTGATCGTAATAAATTACTCATCAATTACGCACACCCTTTGCCGAACAAACCGTAGTAAATCCGTTAGAATTATATTTCAACTTTAATTTGTTCGTTACTTCTAGAATCTTGAGATGGTCAAGGTAAATAAATTAACAGAATTATCGTTGTTGTTGCTACGATCAAGGCTTCATGACCTTTCAACACTTAATTGAATCATCTCAATTACTGACCGCATTCTTTTCATTTATCTTAAAAAAAGGTTACCACCTTTCCGATTTTTACTCCCAAGACTTGTCGCACATAGGATTATCTGCTAAGTAACGTCGTTTAACCGCTTGTAGTATGAAGTACTACAGCTTCTTCTATTTAACATTCATAAAAGGCAACAGGACTGTTGTCACATGCTTTTTAGTTCAAGTCCTGCTCAAGACTGAGCCCTTCAATCTCGAAACTACAAACTCCACATTCGGCTGGTGAACAGGTGCATAGTTTGTTTGCTTATATGTCCTGGAACGCGATGTCCATTTTAAATCTCCTCGTCTGGACATTAAGATCTGTTTGCTTAATAAGTCGATTGATTGCCTTAGTCTCGAGTATGTGAGTTCCAAAGGCGCCCAAGCGGTCAAGAAAGAGGCCAACCAGCTGTTTGTTCGCCAGAACTAACGTGTTAGTTGCCTACTTTAGTACAGTGCATGAAAGCTCTTAAATAGGCTGTCATGGGAACAGCTACTGTTAGGTCCCTTTGGGCGGGATGATACTACGCGCTTTGGCTCTCCCGTTAGTCGTTAGGGCAGGGCAGGGCAGGGGAGGGGGGGGGGGGGGGGGTGGGGGAAGGGGGATGAACGGGACGCGCGTTTTATGCTGCAGGTCACGCGTTCAAATCGCGCTGCTTTGTGTTTATGGTGTGTGCGGACGTTTGTTAACGCGCGCACGGATTTGGCAGTTATCTTTTGCGCTTGATGCTCATGGAATGCGCTCACCGGCCAAGTGCGGTGTACACGGCGTCTTGTAGCTATCCCGTGGTGTAGCCCTTGTTTCTTCTAGGGCAACAGGCCACGTTTTATTAGGGGACGTAAATGGAGAAGTGAATGATAAGAAAACCGGTTTTGCTTTTACTCGAGTGTTGGTGAGTCGGCTGTGTTATTGGTTAGAAAGTTTGAACTTCGTTACAGTTTGATGGTGGCAATTGTTGACTTCGTCAGAAGAAGCTTTAAAACACACAATAAGTCTTTTGGACTCCGCGTGATTGAGCATTCTCAAGAGGACTGAACTCAAGCTGCGATTTTTCCTTTCATCGTAAATCTTCAGTGAGACAAGCATATTTATTTTTCAAAATCGAGTTTTATGCACTTTTGCCAGGCGCTCGTTAGGGCTGCTTTATGGCTCAGACCTAGAAGAAAGGTGGGAGAAACGTTATAGCATTAGATGAACAAAAAAGGAGACGGTTACAGTGCCTAAAATGCTAATGATCGAATGTGAGGAGGGAGTAGTATGCATGTTCTCTTCCAGTGTGCTAGTTATTTGCACTTTCGCTCCCTAATTGTTTTGTTTTGTTGTTTTGCTTTTAGTACCGTAGGACTTCTCTCTCTCTCTCATTTTAGCCGCGAGGGTTTCCCTTTAGCCTCATTGCCTTCGTAGCAATGCCAATTCTCTCTCTCCGATTTCTTCACTCACTCTGGGAAAGTCATTAACAGTCCCTTTATACTTTAAATGGTCTATAAATAGCGCTATTTCTTCCACTCCTTGCGCACTTCCTTCTTCCTAGTCATTACTATTGGGCAATTCAATTTCTTAATGAATCCCTCCAATGTTTGAATGATTCCCGACATCGTTGACTAACTTGTGGGTTTGAAATAAAAAATGTATACTAGGAGCATGCCGTGGTAGACAACGCATGCACATGTAGACGATTGGATTATCTTAGTTGATGTGCTAGTAATGTGGGAGTAAACCGCACGCACGGGGTTGAAAGCAGAGTGTATTGGATTTGCAAAATATGCAGGTAAGAAGTTGTAAGACAGAACATCACTCAAGAATGCGTTTGCTATCTCTGAACTTTAGAGAAGCAATCGAGAATATAGTACTTAAATCGATCGGAATTTATGGCACTTCTAAGGTGTGAATTCCTTCTTACAAAGGAAGCAATTAGGAGCTCGTCCCATTCTATTGGAAGGTGGTTTGACTAGTCAGTTCTGCTATCTCTGGAGTAGTTCTACCTTAACATTGTGAGGCCAGAGATCGCGAGTTCGACGCCTGTTGAATGGCCAACAGTACCAATTAATTTTGACCCATACATAGAGAGCAATACCCTTCAAGTTTCTCACTCGGGAGGCATAATGATTCTGCCTCCTCTGCTCGTAATAAGCAAATATGAGTATAATTCTGATGTTTGATTTGCGAAGATTACTCGTTTGTGCCAGGATTTTGAAGCGGCATCTGGGTACATCTCTTCGTTGTCTTAACCTTGGAACTGTCTTTATTATTGGAAACGATAGAGAAGGGATGCAAGAGTGGAAGAATTCTTATGGTACAGTCCTTTTTTACCTGCCTTAGTTACATTGGCAATGCTTATGAGTTATTAGTTGCTTAATCGAGCATCTAGAATACCTGAATCGATCATTATCACTAATAAACGAACACTGACTTCGGGTTTGACCGATGTGAACGTCGATCGATTCGTCACCGATTGGTATATTTTAAACCAAGAATTTCTGTTTGTTTTATCTTGACTTTTACAATTCTATTGCTTTTCATTGGTATTACTATTTCAGAAATACATTTATTGTCCGATAATAGGTAGATTTAGCAGAAGAGCCCGAACATGTTTTTATTCACATGGAATCCTCTGCGTATCTCTGTTTTACTTTTATCCTACGATTTTCACTAGAGCGCGTACTGTTATAAGATATCGTATTGCAGGACTTAAGCATCAGTTAGATGCCCTTAAGTAGAAACTTCTCCTTTTCTTTACTAGGACTCTTTGACAGAGAGCCTCCTGGGTGGTTCCACAACTGTGGATCCGCTGCCACCAAAGACAGCGAGAAGTAGTCCCGCTCTATCTCACCTCTCCAATTCCTCCTCGACTCCCACATCGTCTTCATCGGTGCCGCGTTACATCGCTACACAGGGCACCCTGCCCAACACCATCGTGGACTTCTGGCGTATGGTCTGGCAAGAAAACAGCGCCATTATTGTCATGATTACCAAAGAAGTCGAGCGTGGTAGGGTAAGTTGAAAGAAGGCTTTTCCATATGCACCTGCTTGTAGCACATCTGTCAATCTCCTAACTCGTCTCAGTAGAATGAGAGTTTAGCATTGAAAGTTCCACAATGTAATGAAGTACAAATGTCCGAAAGTAAATACCAAGGGAAAATGAGCACAAATCCCACTCGGGTCGTGTGTCGTTGAGTTATATTCCTTGCCAGGCTTGTCGGTTAATTTTGTTTTGAAGGAAGCTGGAAGATTGATCGAATTTCGACCTATATTGAGGAAACGGTGTTATAAAGTTAGTAAAACTTCCTTATTTTTGCACCTTAGATAAAGATCTGTTAATTGGAAGTATATCACACCATTTTACCGATTGTCAACTATTAATCGATTTACCTATATACAATCGATTAAGTCACGGTTGGAATTGCGGCCGCGGGTACAGCCAATTAGAATTCCACACACAGATGTTGCGTTTTGCAAGCAAAGTACTATTGGCACTCGTAGGGTGTCTCAGAATATAAATCTAATATTCAATCATTTAAGCGGTCACAATGTTTGGGGTCATGATCGAAGAAGCACTTATATGTTGGTTTATTTAAAACGGCGTAAGGTAAAGTGCTGTTTAGGAAAAAGTGCCATTGTCTTTCGATCAAGTCGTATCATATCAATTTCTGCATGATTTAATTACTATGTTTAAGATCACATGGCTCAACAAGAGCAAAACCATGGGGGCTGCAAGCTGTCAAACTATTCGGAATTATTACTTTTTCCCGAAGTATCAACAATATCTTCAATTCAAGATATTGATTGATTGAGTGCAATACTCACTTTAGACAGAGTGCGGAAGGAACGTGTTCAGCCTCTTTTTTTCCCAGAATAGTGGGAATGGCGGTTTTCTCCATATCGAACGACCAGTTCAGAGAATATTGCTTCAACTGAAACTCCATTTTGAAGACGAAAGCTCGTTGTAAATAGATGAAAACGAAAAAAATTAAGTTCACAGAACTCAAAGGCTGTAATAATAAAACGACTAATGAATGAACTCCAAAGATAACTGACATGATTTTGGAATTGCTAAATTCGGAGTTCTCATTGTCTGACCACATGATAATCTTATTATTGTTGTCAGATTATCTATCCAATCGGCTTTGGTGGACGCGGTATAAATCAATGCGTCGATGTGTGCCGTGCTCTCTGAGGTCTTCTGGCATTTCGTGAGCGTTTCCAAGTTCGTTACATAAAGTACTAACATCAGCTTTTCGAATAGTGTTTTGGTCCGTTTTAATTTCGCCTCTTTGCTGCAGCAAATTTACATTTGACTGTACCCGGCTACACATGGGTATGAAAAGAAACCGGTGCTGGCCGAGTTTTAATCCGGAGTAATGATCACACTCCATTAACTATTCTCCAAAATTTAATCTCCCCCAACCGCACTAATCAAAATACCAGATGTATCTCATACACATATGTCTTCTTTAATGCGTTACTGCTAGTAGACCTAGTTCAGCTGCTGTTGAGATGTATTCACTCGAACCCATATGGCAAGATGGATATACATTTATTCCAAGGCCACTTTTCACCTTTTAACAGGGTTACTTAAAGGAGAATATAATTAATTACTGTCTAGGTAAAATTGGGAGGGGGGGGGGCACTCAGACAAATAATGACCCGAGTGTATTGCTCACCATTCGAAAATGCATAGACTGTGGCTTAATTTTGTTTAATTTTCTTTTAAGAATAAGTGCGCGAGGTACTGGCCAACACCACAACAAGGTACCCTGGAACTTCCCAGCTATAGAGGAACACTGCGAGTTCGCCACTTGGCAGAAAAGAAACTGGAGACGTACACTCTGCGAGAACTCCATCTGTCCCGCGATCCGCCTTCCCACGAACAGGGTTCTTCGAGGAAAACCTCTACTTCGCCTTCCTCCAAAGGTTTCGTGGTGTACCATTATCAATTTCACGCCTGGCCCGATCATGGTACACCCACCGACCCCTCCTGTGTGCTCAACTTCATGTTTGATATTTCTAAGTGTATGGTAAGTGTAATGACGACGTCAATTTATAAATTTTCGTGTTGATTGTTCATTGATTTGACTGCCTCGCACCTAATTTTCTTACTAAATGTCCAATAAAATTCGCTAAAAAGCTTGTAGTGAGTGTATGCTCGGTGTGATGGTGTTACCTTTTCACAATATGTTTATGAAGAATGGAAATCTCCTTCCACGTTCTATCGTTACGCTAAACCACAGGGATAAGAAAGTAAACGAGCTGTGGCTCAAAATAACAGTCTTTCTTAGGGAAACAGATCTGTCCTTGTAGAAAAGTATACTCGACAAAATATTGACTGATAAGCCAACAATTGTAGCCATAATTGCTGCAGTGGTTAGTGTCCATATGTAGGTGTGAGTGTGGAAATCCAATAATCGCCAATTTACTCCACGAGGGATGAGGCTTATGAGTTTCGCTTGAGTGCACTGAAAGTATCCGATTCGGTTTCCTAACATGTCCTAGCTAACTTAACAGAGCCAAAAGCGTTAATTTAACTTGGAGTTGTTGCTCAAACATCGTGTAAAATTGGGCAATGTGGTTTGCAGATTAGAATGAAAATGTCCTTTCCTGAGTCATAAGGAAAATGGATGGGAAGGAATAGTTGAATGTAGGTGTCCAACTCTAACGCGTATTTAACAATAGGAAGACAAATAGGCAGCTAAGTAGAAGGTAGGCAGCAGAGCACGTTATTCAAGTAATACTTCCATGCGTTTAGGTGACTTGAGACTAGAGGTGCATATTAGAGAAGTGGAAAGAAATCGATCGATCTGCTGCTTGAGCCATTGAAGCAGCACTAATGCCTTGAAAACCACAACGGTAGATAAGTTGGCTTCGATCAGTTTCAACTATAATTCTAAATGTAAGCAGAGGCGAGATTTGCACAAGACGTATTGCATTGAGAAGAAGAGAAGGAGTGTCTAGTGGGGAGGGGTGGTCTGGTTGAGTCGGATAAGCACTCTTGTTCACTAAGATTATAAGGATAGTAGTGATGTACTGAGCACTGACACTACTGTGGGTCTAAATTGACTACACAATTTTAGCACAGCAAAAATTTTACGATTTCGGTTTCCAAATCATCATATCCTTCAACATTAGGATGGAAAGTCTTGCCGACTCCATAAACCTCAACATTTATAACTATATAATTTTTTTATAATATTAATCCTCATGACTATCACTTTTGTGAGGTGGAAACAATTGATCTTTCAACGAAGAAAGTAAAATAATTTATTCTATAGGTTCTAGCGGCTAGTCATTCTGAGTTTATCGGCGATGCCTACTATTTACTCCTGTGACTCGTATAATGTAAACTTGTCTATAAATGTTGCCACCCCCATCTAATGACGGTCCTTTTGACGAAAGTGACGAAAGATAGGCTAGATGTTTGCTTATGTTAAAAGACCTCAATTAAGCTTTTTAGCCATGATTATTTACTGTTTTATGAGTTATCGCGCAAAATATCAAGTGTTATAGGCGTGGTATACTTAATGCTCAGTGAAAAATAATTTCCAGCAGCTAGGTTTGCTTTTTTGGACGCGAAAGTATGCTTCATTTGAACATCTTGGTGATTTCCAGCATCCAAAGTTGGTTGTAACTGTTTACAGAACGTTTTCATTCCTGCACTTTCGATTAACTTCTTATAAAGTGCTTTGCCTTGACTTTGGGAGGTTAATAGGACAAGATGCTTGATGAGATGTTAAATTCTTTTAGGAAACTCTACCGGAATGTGGGCCCATGATTGTACACTGCAGCGCAGGAATCGGACGAAGTGGTACCTTCATCGTAATTGATATGCTCATCAATTATATTAAGCGCTATGGACTGCAATGCGACATTGATATCTCTCGCACAGTTCAGGCTGTTAGAGAACAACGTTCAGGTATGGTGCAGATTGAGACCCAATATCGGTTCATCTACAAGGCAGTCCAGAACTTTGTTTCCACCCTATCACAACGCCTTCAACTCCACAATGTAAGCTACTGCCCTTCGATCGATTTTTTTTCCTTGAAATTATTTTTCTGATCTATTATAGTACGTCCCAACGTGGAGTGATTTCCAGGTAGAGAAGATTGCCTAAGACTTATGAATAGTTGTCCTTAAACCAGTCTGTCCTGATCACTTCAGTCGGGTGGTGTTTCGACTCAGTGATCTGACATGCCAGGCGCTTGGCCTCGATCTTATTAGTTAAAAGCCGAGTAATTCCCATTATGGTTTGTTTACCAATATTTTCTCGGTTCAACGAGGGCTTCTTATGCAATATATTCTCAGTGCGATATCATGTGTTTTCATTTTCAAACACAGCGTTTTTACCGAATCTCTAATGAAAATGCATTTGAAACCCAGTAGTCATTCGCATAATTTAACGGTTCATTTTTGTATGTCGTTTCTTCACTTCATGCAATTCATAAATGTCATGCTAGTTCATTGCTGGATTAGGTGATTCTGATTGTCGGTTCGCGAGATTTCAAACCGTTTTTCTGATAGTACCTTTTTCCTCGAATGCCCAACCTCATACTCTTGTGTTTGAATAGACATTCCGTCCAATTTAAACCCATTCACAAAGTAAATTTCCCGATAACTGGAATAAGCAAAAGTCCGACGTCTTAAAAGTCTGCGTTTGCTTTGAATATCAGATTGAATGCTTTTGTCGCTATAAGTTTGCTTTATTGGTCCCATGGATAATAGCTACCGACGTGCTCGTGAATGAAAAGCTCTCCGAGTTCCAATAGCACAAGACATCAAGTTAAAGGCCAGAAAGTGGGGTCAAAGGTGAATTATGATCGCTGGATACCCACAGCTTGCAGCCATCCGTTTTCATCTCTGCCTCAGCCTTGGAAGCTTCATAAACAAATGGCATATTATCACTACATTAAATACGCTTTCTTATTATGGGGAATAAGCCATTGTATTTTGTGTATTGAATTTTAATTGGCGATTGAAGTATGTAATCCTTTGCGGTACGTGGCTGCTGATAATTTTAGTGTTTCTCCATTATTAACGGCCTGTTAAATCATGGTTTCGAGGTTTGCAACCTATAGTAACAGCAGATTAGTGACAAATTCAATAGAGCTGTACTGACCTTCCAAGCCATCTTTGTCGAATGAGTGCCAAAGGTTTATCTCTTCAGTTTCTATTGTAACTGGATACCTTAAAATATTCCTACTTGAGCATTCATGTTTACATAGTTCTTTGCCTTCTATCTTCGAGTGTGGAAATTGTCAGAGTATAACTAAGAACTGTAATGGATACACGTGCATTCGATTGTAGGAACTGCAGCCCCTTGGTGTGGACTACACGAACATTAATCAAGCACCATCCGATCTTATGCATACCTCTACACCGCATCGCCCTGAGTCCACTACTCCTCCAAGCGTTAGCGACGACAGTCACTATAGCAACAGTGCCGCCTGTCGCATGGCTGCAGCTGCCGTCGCTACACAGTCCCAGCACTATCAAACGAAAAGCGGTTCCTTCCCAACCAAACCACCTGCAGTACGATCTGTGACAGATGCGGAGTTGATGTCGACCACAGCCGGCCCCTCTCCCAACAAACCAATCATTACCCACCATCCTTCCACCCCCTCAATTGCCTGCTCATGGGACGCTGTAGGTGATCACTGAGAAGGCTACACAGCTTCCTTTTCCCTCTTGCGAATATTTATTACTATTACCAACAGAGCTTATCCCTCCTTCCCCAGGCCCTCCAAAAACAAATGGTTTCTTTTGTCTTACTGTCGTCTCAAGCTCGAATTACCATTCAATTCCCTTGTCTTCTAAATGCTAAGATTAACGATCTTCCACTCCTTATTCGTCATGTTATTCATAGAGATCAATATTCATGATTATTTCGCCAAATACATACGCCGTCTTTTTGACTGTGAAATGACTCAATAAATTAAGGATGTCATAGTTACCTATGGGAGGCTCAATATATGGTAGGAAAACAGCCAGCTGCTCAAAAACCAAAAGAGCACTACGCAATATGAATCACCCTCAAGAACCGAGCAAATGATTAACCTATTTAACTTTTCTCAAGCGTTCAAGGTCTGAAAAATGAATCGTATAAGACAAGCAAGAAGTACTACATAACAAGATTAAGTGAAGTCTAGTGGGCAACACCAATTTACTCAAATTAAAAAATTCTACTATTAAATAAAAGTAACGATAGTTGTTAATTTAAACAGAAGCAGCAAATATGAGGTGATGCAGTCAGTGATATGAAGGACAAAAAAAATCACACGCATGTGAATGAATTCAAGGAGAAAACGATTGGATGAAAAATAAAAAATCTGCTAACAAGTTCACCATACATAAACACCAACTGTAAACCGACAGATGTTAACAGATTTATTCGGCAATACGATCATAAGTGACAACCAAATTCGATGGAGTTATCGATGGGAATAGTGAGATTCAAAACTTGCGGAAGAGGTATGAAGTGGCACGAACTCTATTTAAATATGTAATGATGTACACCCCCGAGTGTGGCAAGCGATCATAAATGTCTGAGATCGAGTAAAAAAGACTGCTGAATATACAATAAGTCTTTGCCAAAAAAGAGAATAAATTAGTCAAGATACTGAGCCAGCCACTTAAAAGCATCACCGTAGCCTTGTCGCTTGAGAATACTGCACATGAAAATTTCAATGGGACGACCGCTGGCAATAACGTCCCTGGAAACGTTTCCTTTTCCTGTAACTTGTCCGTCCAAGCCTAATCGGCTTCTCAAATATGCCTCACTAACTGCAGATGGGATATCAATTTTGTTTCCCAGAACAAGAATAGGAGCATTTGCGATATCTTGATTAATAATAAGGCTATCCAATTCAACCTTGGCTTCATCGAATCTAAAGACGAATAACATATTTTTAGGATAAATCTATCTTACCGAGCTTCTTCACTTGCATCCACTATGAAAACAACGCCATCAACGGCGGGAACAAATGATTGCCAAACTTTTCGAGCCTGTTCATGGCCACCAAGATCATATGTGGTGAACTTCATTCCAGCAATAGTAAGTTCCTCGCTTGTTGCATGCAGGGTGGGGTTATGCGTTCCGTAACGATCATCCTTTAGCCTGTGAAGAAGAGTGGTTTTGCCTGCGTTGTCAAGGCCCAAAAACACTAACTTCCCGGACTTTTGGTAGAGACCAAGCATATTTAAAACCTTTGAGAATGGAGAAAACACCCAATCATTCAGGAAATTCATTCTCCAGCGTTATACCACGTACAGACACCCCCCTAGCTCGGCGGATTTACAAAGTGAGCCAATTTGTGATTGGTGTACACGTCGAACGGGACAATTAGCTCATTCTAAGAATAATAAAACAAATTTTATAAAATAATAGTCAATTCTATGATTTCGGAAGTCTATCATATAAATTCATGTATAGTATTTTTGAATTATTTGAATTTTTTAACGTTTAGCGTGAATTAAATTTTATTCGATGAAAATAAACACATTTTGTCCCATCTCTGTTTCTTAATTGAATTTTGCATAGAACCTGAATATTTTAAAAGGCTTTGATTTTGCATTACATCCGTTGTTTTATGTGGTGTAATATTAAAATCAATAAAATTCTCAAATACTATAGGCGATAAATATTTTGCATTAACTGGAATATACATTTCTAGTGCATTTTAATTTAGCAGTTCTTGAACTTTGTAAAATGAACATTAACTGATGTTGCATTAATGAAAACAGGCTTTGAATCGAAGCTCTGTTCGGTGGAATTAGAAGGAGTACAATTTTTATGAATTGACGGAACTTCTTTCCTAATAATTAACTTTTAATCACCTTGCTAATTTACCTTTCCAGTCATTGAATAAATTATTTTTTCATATACTGTATTATATATATCAATTTAAATTGACAAATTCGCAATTTGGTGTAAGGACAATTTCTTTTCAAATATACTTTGCCACCATATATCATAATGCGGCTTTTACATACCAGTTGCATGCTTTTCATTTGTGAAGTGATTTGACATAGCTGTATTTTTACTTGTTGTTTACCTTTTGTTCGAATGGTCATAATACTTAATATCTATAAATTTTTAGTGGCACAGTTAAAATCATAACAGTAGGATCGTTTGCTTAAAAGCTAGAACACTAGCGCTATGTGAGTGTCAGCTTAGAAAACATAATCACCGTATTTTCGATGGTTGAATAAATGCCATTGTCAACGAGAATACGGGAAACATGATAATGTCTAAAAAGCGCATTTTTCGTGATATAGCAGATTAAATTTGTTCGACTGCACGCAAAGAAACAAAAAAACGGGAGACTTCACCACATGGAGTCATTGGTCATTGAAAATATCTAATGTTTCACAAGGCACTAAAATACAACAATTATTATTTTATTGTAAGCGATAGAAAAGGGAGTAGTTAATAATTTCTTATTGATAGAAGGATAAAGCGATCTAATGGAAATTAAAAACAGAATTTCAAATTAATTCGTAAAGTTCAATCATTTCTAATTATGATATCGCATTGTTCTAATTGCAAATTGATCCTTTATTTACCACTTATCGACAAAATATGATGAGAAACCAGCCAACTACTTCATTGGATGTTGCATCTTCCGCTTTACCACAACCAGATTACCATTATCACAGTTTTAATCCTTTTTCTATTGTCTCTACTTCCCAATTTTTCTAATGCAAATCCCTATGTTAGCATCCATTTTTTCGACCGACCAACGTGAACATTGACTCATTCGACTCATCACTTAGTTATTTATGAGGGCCTGTCATTTGAAAGAACACTGATTTTGAAAAAAATACGTCTTCACCTACTTTTATTTATTTCAAATGGCAGGCGTTATGATAGGTATCACTAGCCCTTTAGTTAACTTTGTGCTTCACAGAAAGGAAGAGGAACACCAAAGTGGCAAAAAGTCGAGAGTGGGGACAGAATAATAATTCACAAACATGAAAGAGACAGACAGACACAAAGGTAGAAAAAAGGTGAGTACTGTGAATTAGTCGAATATGAAATGCTGTGGGGTCTTGGTAGTTTGAAGTCAGAAGTCAACTGCCGACTTTTTTGCTGTATGAGTATACGTTGCCCAGGGTGTACCACGTGGAGGTAAGTCTATCGCACACCCCACTTTACCTACTTAGTTGGACTCGTAAGCTGTTTTACTGTCGTGAGTGCTAATATTTTGAATAGGAAAAAATTTTGTATTTAAGTTCTTTGCCTTTCTTTTCTATGCATAGCCCACCAATTCACATTTAAACATTCATGTTGCTCGAATTTTCCTTTTACCGATGGAATTCAAATCTAATTTACCAAGCAATTAATGTTGTTGGGAGATCAATTAATACGAACATGTTTTCCTTCTCTTACAGCAGGAAGGCAAAAGCTAAGATTATTTAAAATAGCAGAGCTTATCAGAGACCACGCTTACGGGGAGAAAGCAATAAATCCGTTGGAATATGCATGTTAGTACATAAATGGCGGAGAGAAATGAGGAAAATTCGTGTTCAACTTATGTGTCATTTTAGGCAATCTGCTTTTGGTTAATTAAAATTGACAGAAGCAACATTAGCACAAATGAAGCTCAAGAGCATCTGTCATCACCTGTAGTGATATATCTTACTCATCATACTGTTAGCAATAATCTGAACTGGTAATAAATCTGCGTTCGGATGAAGGTAATGCTACTTAAATAGATCTGGGGTGCGTAATAGACTTACCTCCACGTGGTGTACCCTGGGCAACGTAT